GGGGGGGGGGGGGGGTTGATGACCTCCCAGTACAAGAAAAGGAGCGCTGCTGGGCAGCGAGAAATTTCTGTTGTAGAAGATAATTTAATAGAGTAGAAATATGAGTAAAACGCATTACAGTACAGATGTTCACATTGTAGTAGTTAAGAATTTCTAAAAGATATTGGGTCTTAAAGTGATATATTTTGCATCGAAGCATCTGCACCGACTTGAGGAAAATATTATGTTGGTGGTACGTGCGACTTGTTACGTAACTAAAGGTAATTAACACAGAAGAGGAATGTCTGAACATAGCATGTTTATATGTTGCTAGACGCTCAGTAACCAAATGTTCTAATTCATATTATGTGAACCGTGAGGGTTGTAATATATCACACCTTACCCTAGCAGCTAAATCAAACACTCTGTCGGGTTTAGGAGCCTCCGGCACACTCTTGGGGCCATCAGAATCCCCTAGAACGATGTTAACGAGACAGTATTCCATCAAGGCCATAAACACAAATCTGAAAAAAGAATAATGGAGAGGTAATGAAAACACGCAGATTGCTCCCTACTGCCTCATAAAACGAAGCTATGGGCAGAGTAAATGTACAATGACTGGAGGGAACCTCGAGAATATTTCTGCAAGAAACATCTCTCTCCTAGTGGATAAGGGAAAACAAACATGTTTATACCTATCGCCAATTTGATAAACAAAGTAAAATATTTAGTGGAATATTTGGCGAAATAAAAATATGTTCACATGAATATCAAAACTGCAAATTATAATGAGTAAAATCTGAGGGAGAATTTATTTTTACCTCTTGCTTTACTAAAAGGAAGCAACGAAATTTTAATTTGTAATATTAACGACAGAATTCACAAAATATATCAACATAAAAAGTACTTTCAAAATTGCGTGTACTATATACATGTCCATATATTGTATGATTTATGAAGTATGGCGAAAAGTGGTTAAATATATCTGATTTGGATTTTACTTTCAACACACACTGCAACATTAGAAATAAAATGGAACATTATGCTAACATTAAGATCTAAATGTTTGTCACGATGACACATTAGGACAACTGTTTTTCTGGATATTATCCGTCATTCTGTCTTTATCTAAAACACCGTCCCTCTCTTGGAGATAGGAACTAGCTCTATCAACTGGGCTCAACTGAGTAGATTTTACCTGAAGACGGAGACAGAATCCAGTATCGGGAACGTCATGTTTTGAAAAATAAAGAGGACGGTGTTTTTGGCTAAAGACAGGATCATGGATAATGTCCAGAAACGTAATATTTGTATTATGCTAAGAGGTTTTCCTACAATCGTATGGAGAAGGAAACATGTGATAAAGTTTGTGTAAAAAATATTCACCTTCCCAAGTCTCGATTTGATTCTTCATGTTCTCTATGGGAAGAAACATGTAAATCGTGCTTTATCACTATTGTTTTGAAATAACAATTGGAATGCTAGTATCTCTTGCACAGACAGGTCTATACTTAGTCCTCAAATGTATACGGATATCTAACGGTTAACATACCAGTTGTTGTAATTAATATTATTTCAATTTTGTAAGCATCATATGGCCTGGAGATTCTGAGACTCCATCAAAAGATGCAACAGTCTGTATAAATAATGTTCTCTTATACATACACTTAACTATATGTACATTACATATATATTTGTATGCATGTGTATAGGATGATTCATTCTGCGAAGGACCCGAATTAACAATTTTAAGTCACACAATAATTTACCAATACAAACAAAACCTGGCAAGAATCTGTACTCTGCAAAATTTATCCGGCCTCTGCCTGCCCAGTACTCGCAATTTCCTGCCGTCTGTGATTATACGTGTAGTGCAGCGGGATAATGTACAATACTGAGCAGCGTGCTTTTCTCTTACGTTCGTACTGAGTTACGGAAGCGTTCACTCGATACTAGGTGGTTTTCAGAAATCGTTTTCTTATGGCAGACTCGTCAAGGAACTCTACTGAGAAGATGGCCGAAAGCTGGAGGCTGAAGGAACCCTGAATGCTCTACACTGAGGACATTGGTCTGCAGTGGCCGGTAACACGGTGCAGTACGTGAGACAGCTGCTCTTTAAAACTGAAACTGTAGTCACTTTGCAGTTCTGGCAGGAGACTGGCACGTCCTGTTCATCGTGTCAAAGAACAGCAAGGGAAGGAAAGATTCACCAGCACAATGCTACTCTTATTCAGAAATTTCAACCTCCTGGAGTACAGAAAAAGTAGAATCTTCACAGTGGTTTTAAACATTGGATGCCCAAAACCCCGACATCTTGGACAAGACATGGTCTTCTGATGAAGCTTGGCTTCAGTTGTAGGGACAAGTCAACCCATAGAATACGCATGTTATAGGTCGCTGAACAACTTCATGTCATTCAAGAGGAGTCCCTCCATTCATAAAAAGTGAAGGGCGTGGCATGTTGTGCCACGTACCGGCATAATTTGCCTCATTTTCTTCCACACGACCAACAACTTCAACGTATACACGGATATTTTCCAAGATTTTGTGAATCTGTTGGATGACCGGGAGTTAACAGGCCATTTCGAACAATATGGGGAGATGTGTCACGCGTCTGATCAACCTTCAAAGAAATCAGGTGTTTCTTTGAGGGCAGGATTTACCCGAAATAATTCTGGGATGCCCAGTCTCCAGACATGACTCCGCTGATTTGTTTTATATTGTTGACTACCTGGAAAGAAATAATACTATAAAACAGCTGAAATTTCTCCTGCCATGTTGGCTGCAACATTCACGAATATGGAGCATCATGTTGACGAATGGAAACCAATTTCAGCGCCATCTGTAATATTTAATTATCTCCACTTCTTGAAAAGTATGACACGTAGAATTTCGTTTTCATCAGTAAATTATTGTGTGGTTTCTGACTATTGATTCGGGGTCTCCTCTAGGTTAAAACAGAATTATCCAAGAGAAAGTCCAGCTCATTTAGTCTTAAAATGAACATATGTAAAATTTGAGTTTTTCACGGCGGTGACTATGACCAATGCCGTCTTCTGGGATGTGGAGCCGTATAAATATGCTCACGCAGGTTCCTCGCACACTGATTTTTCTACCCTGAAGTTGGAGACGATACCTTCCTCCGAAACATCGGTTCACACAAGATCTACACGACGTCACATCCCAGAAGGAGACATTCTTCTTAAAATTAACAGTTTTTAAAACTGAAGTAGCTGAAGAATGGTGATTGGTTTGAAGTTACAAACGAAAAATAAACTAATATTTCCAGAACACAGAGTAAGATTAAGTGGACTTACAGAGTGCAAGTTGACATGAATGCATCAACGGCCTTCAGATACGAGACTGGAGGGAGGGCAGCTTGGGATTTGGCATGTTGAGTGGACAGAGTGAGCAGCGAAGTTACCCCCAGGGTGACACGCGCTGGTGCCGCTTCGGGCTTAATCCAAAACGACACCCACTGAAGTGAAGCAGACTTATGACACAGCAGTTTCCAAAACCGAAGAATAGAGTTTAAAAATAAGAGAACCATTTATAAGAAGGGGTGCATCAAGGTGACTCCTCCTGTCACGTGCTGCATGCAATTTTAAGTAATCTAAAGCATTATCATAACTGTAATGAATATGTCAATTAAAGCTACTGTATGAAGAGGCTTCACATTTCCGCTAAATGCTTTCCAGCATGAATTAAGTAGGCGTAGCAGAACACCATCCTCATATACACATACCTAACTCATGTTATTGATGAAGTGTTATTTAATAAACCAAGAAATCCAAAAGAACACTACATAACTTAAGTCCAAAGAACAGGGCGGATGCTCAGTCAAGCTGCGACACTTACTGACATGATGACGATGAGGCAGGTGGGAATGTACGTATGGAACAAGTAGTAACCGAGCCGCCGCTTCAGCACAAAAACTACTTCCAAGCATGTGAAATTTCCTGGGAAACAATGGGCACAACACGAGAATTAGTTTTTGCTCTTACTGACGAGCTAAAACAAATGTATCTATTAGAGAAACCCAACAGGACACAGAACACAGCCATCTTAAGGAACAATCGTGTCACAGTTTGTAATGAACTACTTCCGGGAGTTTGAATTTCTTTCGACTTAACTCCGTAAACTGTTTCCTTTGTCATCTTCACGTGTGCAAGAACATATTCCGATTCAATGAGTAATAAATCATATGGATTATGTTCCTCCAGACCTGAACATGAAAAAAATCAAGTTCCCGTAACGGAGTACTGCTTGCATTGAAAATAGTATTAAGATTTATTAGGTCCACTAGATTGAAACGTAAATATTTGTCACCTTTATTTTTTAGTTTAACTTCTTGGTCACTCCCTCTTTCAACAATTCACAATTCACTCAAAAACAACTAAGCGTGAATATTTTCCCAACATGACTAGTTGTAAATTATGAACCGTGTTCTGGATACAGCGTAAGGCTTTCTGTTCTCGGCAGAAAGCTGTATATCTCGACCGAGGTTCTTGGTATCATTCCTTATTCCCTTCAAACTAATATATAAGAACGTAACTTAAAGTAAGCCATGACCACTTCCTTCCTCACTCTTGTCAATTGACTCTATACACTTAAAATTTTTGATGTCTAGAAAATGGTGCTAAGTAAACTAAATATATTAAAATATGTACAAGTAAAATTTTTAAATTTATTATATTTTTTTCGTACAATTTTCTATTCTGAGAAAATTTAAACGCCCTGAATATGAGAGAAGTAGACTTAAATATGTCATTATTCGAAAAGAAAAAAATACTATTTTTCAACAAAACCTCAAAGGTTCTATTTTGCTTTTGTTCTGACGCGCCTCTATTCTAAAGGAGATTTAAGAGATAATTCTAAAATATGCGGTATATATTAAGTCACAGTAGAATATAATAAAACAAGAGGGGCGTTAAACCGAGCATGCACCTATCCTATCAGGATTCCTATACCGATAATAACTGGAATTCAACAGATAAACTTGTACACTGAAGTGATGATTCCAAAGTCCTCGAAGAGATTCAGAAAAGCACAATGCACGTATTTACTTCTATAATAAACATCATGTTGGTCGATTATGACGTTATTACTAAAGTAAATTCACCTGTAGAATAAACTTGCGAGCAGTCTTCTGTCTTATTACTGACAAGCTGCAACTGAGGTAACTCTATGTTCTCATCTACGACAAGCGGAACATCGGGATCCCATTGGAATACCATATCATCCGTGGTGTGAGACACTACAAAAAATAAGAATGCAGAAACTTTTTCTTGAAACATTATGGAAGTAGGCATATTCGCTAGATAGAGGGCGAATAAGTCAATATAGGGAACAGTATAATGCTCTGCATAAAAATCAAATTGGCCTAGTCACGGCCTACTCCAATAGATAAGTAAGTAAAGTAAAGGTATCCCTGTAACAGGCCATGAAGGCCCATAGGGATGTGAGATGTTGAGTTTCCCACATGTTATAGACAACTGGCTCATAGATAGCGGCAAGGTTGCCAGCCCTACGCGCCGGCCGCCCTCTACCCTCAAGAATATTCCAAGAACATTCCTGATACTCATTTCTGTTACAGGCTGAGTAGACCCCAGGGCCATAGTGCGGCTGGAAGGATTAGGTAAATTGAAAAAATCCAATGACCTCATCGGGATTCGATCCCGCGATCTTCCGGCTTGTAACATAGTGCATCAACCAACTACACTAGCGCGTGCCCCCCCCATTCCAATAGATGCTTTTGAATATATCGTGAAGAAGTCTGAAACTGTAAACATTCAAGAATGAATTATCCACTGGGTCTCAGGCTGTTTGCTCAATAACAGAATCTAGTCCGGTCAAATCAAATCGAATCTGCCCCCACTACGACATTCGAAGGCAGATCCATTTGTTTTGAGAATTCCTCTGTACCTTCGTCAAAATATTTTTCCTAACTAATTGTACACAAGACAGCAAATTGACTGAAAGATTGTAGGATCTGATTGTCAATAAAGGAGATTAAAAAAAACAAACAAACAATATTTGTGTAATGTTGAGTTCAGTTGAGCTGAGCATCTTAGTGAACCAAAACTGATTCGCCTCGATTCAGTTAGTGTTCGAAGCGTAATATTCATAAATTTCTACCAGCGTACGTGACTTCTAACACTGCTGTGCTACTGGAACACCATTATTAATTTTAGAGTAGAAAATAAAACATACATTTCTTACAAACCAAATATCAAACGTCCCTTAGGAAGCTACAAGCACAATAATTTCTAGTATGAGTTTATGGAATCGCTTCCTTTAGATATTTAAAAAATATGAAACGAAGCTTTCAGGAATCATAAAGTAATATATGTACAATTTAGTGGTTCGTGTCTGTAAGTAATTTCCATTAATACTGGTTCCGACTAGCCAAACTTTCCAGATATAGCCTTAAAGATTTACACCATTTTCATGTCTCCAATTTTTTTGCCACATAAATAATATTTCATACAAAATTCCCAGCTACAGTCTATGAGTGTTAATTCTACAAAAAGTCTAAGAAGTGTTTATTAACAGTTTTTATGATGCCCACAACAAAATATAGATTTCGTGCAGCTGACGCGTTACTGTTCTGCATTCTATAAAAATATTCTTTTTCCACATCAAATTTCTGAACCTTTGTTAAGTCTTCCTCCCACATGAATAAACAAAAGAAATCAACATATTGGTAAAAAAGATGAGAGGAACTGATAGATAGAACTATGGAGTGACATCTACTGATACGATATTCATGAAAAGTTCCAAAATTCGTTAGGGTGTGAGAGACACTGAAAGGCGCAAAGATGTAAACGTATACCACCATCGTATCTCATTTCATGAGGCAAAAGTAGCTGTCGATTATTGTACTAATATTAGAACAGAGTAAACCAACTCAATTTAAAATTAAAAGAAACATATAAAAAATACACTTAAACTTAGGACCTTCAAATGATTTTGTGCCTCTATAAAATTAAAATTCCGATCATAGTGGCATGAACTGTCTTCGCCCACTCAGAACACTGACATCATGGATTCGATTACCACACAGGCATGGATGTATGTGTGTTTGTTCTATGTTTGTGCTGTCCTGTGTTAGTAATAGGCCTTGCAACGGGCTGATTACCAGTCCAAGGAGTCTTACCGACTTTGTACGGTATCAAGAAACTGAAAAGCGGCCAAGGTCCAACAAAGGGCTGTAGAACCATAGGTATATAGATATAATTAGAATTTACACGTTTCTGTTAGGCTTATTGGCAGAATTATAGATGTTATAATACAGGCTACTACAGCTACGGTAAGGAAGGGTTAACAAGAAATTGAGTCCTGGCAAAATATCTGTACATTCTGTGGCCATGCATAAGAATATCCTTCATATCGTCATATTAGCCATTCAGACATCCCGAACGCTACACGTGAGTGAGCGCACCCTCCGACTCTGTGATATTGGGACACTGCTCAAGATTTAATGTACGTTACTCACAACTTTCCATCTGCAGTTTGCACTCCTGGGTGTCGTGAGGGTAGATAATGAAGTTCATAGCACAGGATAGCTTCAGGGTCAATCTGTAGGAATAATTCAAGTGGAACCTTATAGCAAAGCCCAGTTCATTATCCGGATATATTATTATTATCAGCAAAATTACCGTCATGTTATCACTAAAATCATTCAATACACACCATCACTACAAGTTCAGTCCCTCAATTAGAATAATGCTATTTATATTAACATAAACATATTTTACAAGACATTCATTTCATTAGCAGTCACTTTTTCATGATGATTAATTATTTAGTATTAAACATATTCCATACTTATGGTATTATGTCGTACCTTATGTTACCCTTTTGTGTTATTTTTGTTCTTATTGATTGTTCTGTTAGATGGAGTTTTCATATGCTTATATATATATTGTTTTTTTAGTGCTTGTACATATCTTCCTGCTTTTCTAAAGATATTAAAAGATGCCCTGAATTGCTGTTATCATTGTGTAAGACTAATTATTAAGTTTATCTTCCCAAGTAGACAGACTCTTCAGCCCTACTTTGTATATTTAGATATATCTCCTGTCATCTGTATTTCTTACTGTCTTTACAAACAGCTTGATAAATAAACCGAAACTGTAATTTCGTATATTTAAAGGTAATCATGAAATCTGGAAGCCATTTTATTGCGAACTTCGCTCCAGATCAGCCACCTCGCTGGTCATTATCCTGCACCGCACTGCAGTCTTTCAAACCAGGCAACGAGGTAGCGGAACTTATAAAAAATGAACACAACAAACTGGTGGATTTTGGTTAAATTTTCTGTTCTGAGAGGAGGAAACGCCAAAATTGTGTGCGGCCCAGCCTTACCTCGAAACCGAGGGCCTATCAGACGGCCTGACACGATCGAATGAAGAGACGATTACCGTCCCGTATTTGCACAATGTACTTCTAAGGCATATGACTGTTCCAGTGCCCGCCTCACGGGCTAATGTAGTTGTAATATATTTGCTTTTCTCAAATTAAAGTAGTAAATAAGCTAAGTAATTTCTGTTGCGGTAACATATAAGCAATATAGAGAAAGTCTTCTTTGTGCAGTAATTTATGTAGTCAGCGGAGGACATAACTAATTGCATTGTACAGCTGTGAAATATATAAGGGGGGGGGGCAAAATAATGGAAAGATATTTGAGAAATTGAGGAAAACAATTTATTTTGGCTACATCGAAAGAACTTCAGTTGGCAACACTGAATGTTCTTCTTCAGTTTACATGCACTCTATAATACTCGTGTAAGTGCATTAGTGTTTATGTTGAGTGACAGTCCGTGTGAAAGAACCGGAAAACAGGAGTCCTGTCCGATTTAGAAAGCTGATAGATGGTTGGTGCGCTTTTAGATGTAGCATCTGTGACAAAAACTAACACGTTTTTATGTGTATCGAGAGCAACAGTTCCTAAGATTATGCCAGTATATGCGAATCACTGGGAGACAATATCAGCGAAGATGAACAGTGGGCGAAATTCAACAATGACAGAAAGAGATGGTAGAACACATAGAAGGATTGTTTTGAAAAATCACAGATCTACAGCAAGCACAAGTGAACTGCAGCAGAACTGAATATTCGTCTCGAAGACACTGTTTCCACAAGAACTGACCGAAATGAACTTCACGAATTCTGCATCCACAATAGAGCTGCAACTGCTAAATTTTGATTACTGAAAGTATGCTCAGATTTGCAAAAAATAGTATCACGACCATGAAACCTGGACATTAATTGGAAAAGTGCCGAGTGATATGGACAGATGAGTCGTCCTTCACGCTGTTCCCTGCATCGGGAAGAGTTTAAGTTTTGAGAACACCCAAGGAAACTTACAATCCGGAATATCTGGTTCCAACAGTGAAACACGGGGGAAGTTCTGTGATGGTTTGGGCAGCAATATCGAGGTACAGTATTCTCTTGGTCCATTATTACCCTTCATGGCCGAATTACTGCAAGGGAGTACGTGGACAGGTTGGGAAATCAGGTGTATCCCGTGATCCAGACGTTATTTCCGAACAACGGTTCAGTTCTCCAAGGCGATAATATTCCAAGACACACAGCAGGAACTGTTCAGTCATGGTCTGAAGAGCATAAATATGAGCTTCAGCATCTTCCCTAGCCAGCACAATCAATCACTATATTTCAACATCACTGCGCCACTCTGGTCAGTTTTGAAGACTAGATTGAGGAATAGTTTCCCACCTCCAACAACTCTAAAGCAATTCGAAGATGGTTTTCATGAAGAACAGTATAAAATTTCGTTAGGGACTCTTCAAAACACGTACGAGTCCATTCCAAGAAAGACTGTGGCTGTATTGAAGGTAAAAGTTAGTCCAACACTATGTTAATAAAGAAATGTATCTGTAATGTTTCCATTATATTGTCCAACCCCTGTATTTGCTCATAGCCAAACTGAACTGACTTAAGGTCCTGTCCTATTTCTGATCTTACGGACAGTAGGAAAGATATTGCTTCCTAATCACTTGTACCTGTTCTGTATGAGGGCACTGACTGGGAGACACTGGTGAAAATGATAGGCTTAGCTATCTTACAGCTCACCACATTTCGGAGCGTGTCTGACCATCTACGAGTAATAGGCAAGGCGGTGAGAGAACACCAGGCAGCAACCTAGTACCGTTCACTTTACCTGTATTATCGCTTGAAAAACATACTTCCATGTAACCTTACTTCGTATAAAATAAATGTTCCCACGCCTTTCGGTACAGCCTACGCATAAACAGGCTGAACATACGTAGGAATAACATTAGCAGCTTCGCTATGTTTCATGAGGTGACTACTACCAACCTGAAGTTGAACAGAACTGAATCCATCCTTCATAAATTTAGATACATAATTGTCTCGTTTGGTGCTTAGGGTCATCATCTAGGCATTTCCTCCAAGTCGGATATTATAGGTGATTTCACTGTACTCGTATTATGGTGTTATAGAACTTACTCTAGAGACATTGGAAGTCCTCTTTTTCTAACATCTAAAGAAATCATTTTTCATCCTTCCAATGTAATATCTCAATTTACTACACTATCTTTTATTAATACGGCAATAACTGATGGAATACCTCGAGCTTCAGCTTAATCTACAACTGCGCTGGGGCACTCTGTCGTGAGACGAAATACAGGTTCATTGAAAACACATATGAAATCATTATTTGCTAAACTTTCATATAAAATTAAGAAGTCTCGGAAAGCGTAAATCTCGGAAGAAAGTTCCTAATTCTGTGACAACCGATAATATTGTAATAACAAGTTAATTCTTGTGATTATGGAAATTATGATGATTGTAAAAATAATACGTAATTGTTATATGAATTCCTATGTCATATTAAATAAAAATATTTTCAGAGACTTCAGGAACTAAGAAGAGAGTTTAGGAAGAAAGAATTTTAATTACTCACTTAACCATATATAAGATAGTTTTGTCTTTGTACAGCCAAATATAGTGATTCGGAATGGTCATGGTTTGGAATGTCACCGACTTTGCATTTTTGAAGAATGAGTCTGGTCTCCACATATTCTTCAACCAATCAACTTCAAGTAACCTGCAACAGTAGTCAAATTTAATTTTCAGTAAAGTAGGAAATGGAATATATGGTGTACGCGGTGCTTGAGGTCAAGATGTTAAGTTACGAAATTCCGTAGAATGCATAGAAACAGCCATACATCTATTCTGGGAACTTTTTTGTACCTCAACTCTACTATGACTGATGATGTGTAATGTATTAGCTAAACTTGACAGAAAACTATGTAAAATACAAGGAGTTAAATAGTTACAAAGATGAATGTGAGAATTAAATGTACATTTAGAATAAAAAACTAACGGACGTCTGTCTCGCTTAGTCAACTGAATGGATGTTAAATAATACGGAGGCAGAAATTGTTTGTCACTTAGTGGAGAACATGAATGAGTGGTCGGTGTATCACACCATGCAAACACGTGGAAGGAATAAAATTCTAGAATGGGAACTACGGCTTCGTTATTACGGTCATGCTACTTTCCTGGAAGCACCATGCGAACTCGTAAAATATATCAGTCAGAATATACGCACGGTCACGATATAAACTAGTTACTTCTAAAGTTGGAAATATACATCCACTCTCCCATACGTCTTCATGTCATGGTGCTTAATTAATTAAGCACCAGGAAAACTTTACTCTTTATCTTTCGCCTTTACTTGTACTCAGCCACTGCGGTGGGCATACCGTCTTAGCAATTAATTACCGATTTATGTAAATGTTCTTTCATATAACATTTGAAAAAAGTTACCTGTATTCTGAAGTCATATTCTCTGGGAGCCTCAGGCGATCATCTTTCCATGTCTGTGCGAAGAAAATGTCAGCAGCATAAGTCTGGAATAAATATAACAATTACAGAAATATAGAAGGAAAATATGGCATTTCAGATATATTAAAATTAAAAAAATCTGGAAGTATATAATGTAAAGAAAGGTTACTGACGAGAAAGATTTCGGATAATTTATTATTACCAAAGGAATTGAATTAGCAAATTGTAAATCATTTGCGTATAGCTACTAAGTCAAGATTGCTAAATTGCATATCTGTTTCAGTTGATATGGTGATATGATCTCCAATTATAAGTAACGGTAACATGTATAGTGACCGCAGCTCACAATGAGAGATGAACTCCCAAACACTGCACTAAAAATACACGCCCTGGGGAGTGGTCGCCCCTGAAAATCCTTCCAATAATAATCACATAAGTATAATGATTAAGCAGACGGTTCCTATACCCAGCCTCTGTTACTTAAAATAACGGAAGCAAAAGCGAGAAAATCTCGCCCATTCCACTATGTATACACAGGGGAGTTCTTATCTTTGGTGACCGATTCACGACTCTGTGCTTTACGGCGACCGGTGCACCACAGGCTGCAAGGCGCACAATAATTTTGCGATGAATCAGTATCCCTGATGACCGATAACTTTGGGAATGAAGTAGTTACAATTCACAAATCACAGGAGTTGCTGAAAATGCTGTCCCTCTACAAGCAGACATTTTTCGCGCCGGCGAAAGACGTACTCATTTCCCTTTGAAGCTGCTCTGCAGGAATATCTTATGTTCAATTTCACTACGAATATTTTCTTTTGGTTCTACTTCCGTTCGGGATTACTGTTGTAAATTGTGTCTTTCAAACAGCCCCTGAAGAAGAATTCACCAGGATTAAGATCGGGTGAACGTGCTGGCGAAATACAACTGTGATAATTCTGTCCCCAGAGACGTCGGACAAAGCCTGCATACAAATACAGTACATGGAGTGGGCAGTAGCGGAGTCTTTCTTCTTCTGTTAACTGTCTAGTAATTCGCGAGCTAAGTCACTAACGGACATCGTCTGCTCTGCTGCGTACTGAAATGAACTGGAATGTCGCGATAACCAGACAAACAAATACTTTTTATAAGCACGTCACATGTAGGGAAATTTCTAGTAGGTTCGCGGTTGACCTCGGTCTTGGCGGGGGCTGTGCGGCTTCCCAAACGTTCTAGAAAAGATGGTCTTAGTATTTACATCGGATAAGAGCAAGCGTGGGCCAGGCGGAGCGAATGCGTCGTGTCCTGTTCCCGTAAGAAATACTCGTAAATAAATAAAGTACCTACCATTGCATTTTCATCAATGGAGTCAAGGCCCATTACTGTGACATGAAAGTATACTACAGTTGGACTGCCATCCTTCTTAGGAGGCCTCATCTTGTCATAAAGCTTCGGGTCCTCTGGCAGGATGTCGTTGAATGTCAAACTTGTGATCCTGTACCAATATTAATAAAATAATTACTGAAAAAGTAGGCTGCCCTTCAGGAGGTTCCAACATCTTATTTCTGAGTTTCTGTAATACATAAAGTGAAAGCAATCACTAAATATTTCTATATTTTATACATTTTCTCTATCAAACTTGTTTATTATTTACTTTCACTTCTCACGTTCTTCAGACATACTTGCTCATCATGGATTTCGTATTCACTTTATATAAGAGTTGCTGAAGATTTATTTAAAATTTTACACGTTTAAAATTCATTATTAAAATTCTCTAGTTATAATTTTTATAACTTAAACATTCTTTTATTTATATATCTTGCTTATTTCATTTCTTCGGTACTACTTCATATTACATATTATTCAGTTACTGAAACTGTCATAAAATCTTGCATTTGTCGGAACTTCTCATTTCATATTTCATATTCGAATGAGTATCGGTGTTCTTTCCTCGTGGTTAAAAATCAAGGGAGTGGAGAGGTCTGAAGCAGAGGTTGGGAACACGACTTCAAGGTTTCGTGATTAGTTAAGGGGAACTGTAACTTTAAAATCTGCCTCATATTACTTCTAAAATAATTTAGAATCACACATACAAATTACTGCCCTTATAAAATAATTTTGGCTTCATGATTTTGGTACATGACTAGAGTACTCGTAAGTGGACTGAAATGTCGGTTTTCATGCTGATACAGTTATACCTGATAGCTTATTAACTAAATTGTGTAGGTTACAAGTTGCTGACTTAAAAGGAAATAGAGAGAAGACGTATCAGAAGAAAAAGAGACGTTGAAGGTAGCGGGAGATGTCAAAAACAGTAATTAATTGAAGTGAATATGAAGAAGGTAAATTATAAATCATTTTGTAGTCATGATGATGAAGGCATTTGTAATAAATAATTACTTTATATTTGTTTTTAAGCACAGAGCTATTTTTTTTTTCCTGTGTTAGAGTTATGTTCCAGGAAATTGTATTTGAAACAGACGGCGCTGGTCCAATAATTAATGTTTCTGCTTCGTCGTTTTAAGGTAACCTAATCAATTTTTCAGAGCGACTAACAGTAATTTCTTAGATATTCTTTAATCGGCTTGTAATGTCAAAGACCACTTACACATTGTTTCCCCAATTCATTGTTCACAATCAGTCTCAAAGTCGAAGACACGCGGCTTCAGGAGCTCATATTGCGCCGCTGCGTGACCAAAATAAATGGGTTTGTATAATTATTTTTATATGTATTAGTTTGTGAAAATATAAGAATTTGGTAACATTACACATTTTGAATAACTGATTATTAAATTATTTTGAAAGACAGAAAATCTCATACTCATAACTTTCTAAAGAAGACCAGATTTAGATGGAGCTGAATGCAGAGATCTTGTCCTGAATGCAAGAAAGTGGAAATGAATAGCATAATTTACGAATTTCCCGCCTCAGATATTTAAATGTTTGCGGAAGCCATCGAATGGAAGTATGAAATTAACCTACGTGTAATATGTCTGCTTCTTACAGTTACACATGGTGTTGAAGAATAGTACATTATAGTCGGAAAAATGTGAAACATTCTCAGATTGAAAATATGTCTCGACTTAGGCCACAGGTGTTTTCCAAAGAATGGTAGCAAAACGCGTAACTCCTTCTTTAACTTCCTTGAACTGCCATCGAAATATTTGTAGTTCGATTAATATTCAGTATCATACATTTGCCTGCTTAGGCATCCTACATTTTGTCATTTGTGATAAGTAAGAGTAGAGTAAACCCTCGGTAATCCGGTAATATTTACCTCAGATGTCGGATAATCCGGACCAAAGTATGAAAAATGAAAAATGCTGTTGACAGTTGAGTATATGCTTCAAAAAACACGTGGCATTTAGGAAGGAAGACTTCTCTGTTCAGACAAAACTTAGACAGTTTCTTCAAACCTGAATTATTACATCCAAAAACAAGTACAACTTCTAAGTCTTCTAACGATGAATAAATATATTGTTTTTATAGTTTTTAAATAAAGGTTCTAGAGTGAACTTTGTATTTATTTTCAACAACATGATTTATATCATTAAGTTTTCCCTTTATTTGTGTCCCAAACTTTTCTTTTAGGGTTAACTTTTGTTTCACTAATCCGTATTATCCCTTAATCCGGAAGCCATGGCCCACTCAATTACGCCGGCTTAGTGAGGGTATAATGTTATTTCCTTATTCTTAGCCTTCAATAAAAATATTAAATACAATTCGCAAAAAATGGCGTTAATGCGAAATTCTCCTATATTGAGGTGCACTCGCCTTTTGAAGAAGGATATACATGGTATGCCTACCGATAATCTCCCGAGAAACTATAGAAAACGACGAAAACTAAGATTACAGCATCTAGTGACATTGCCGCAAATTATCTCTGTGGCCTTACTGTTTCCATTGAAAATCTTAAATCGCCCCGACACTCAGTCGCGGTGTAACTATCGCGTGAAAACTACAGACTTTTACTATGTGTTTTCTCTGCAGCAACTACTTGGCTGAGGAAGGGACTGAATTTCTTCTGCACTCGTCTTACTCATCTCACTCAGTCCAGTATGAGTTCTCTTCCCTATGTGAGTAATTAAATTCTATGGACTGAAGCAAAAACTGAACTGAGAACACGAAATTTTAAAGTTTGAAAGAATATTGTTAAAATATTTCCTGAAATGCTGCTAAATATAAATACGTATGAGACAGAATTGTATATAAACGGAATGTGTATATAATCGCAAGTGATCAGTATTTGTGTGTCCTGTCTTGAGCTAAAGTTACCTTGTTTTCGAAAGCATAGTACATTCTGTTTTCCACTTCTTCTGATCACGTTTATACATGAAACCCCAAACAGTATGTCATTCCCCAAAACGTGAAACCTTTACACTTTTAAACCTTTAAAGCGCACTGGTTGCAGAATTTACAAAATGATTTAGAACCAGACGGTTAGAACCCTGCATTTTGTTCACAGAGAGCACTTAGGCCTATGTGTTTCATATAATTCTGGAATTACGCGGCGATTGTTTCTCTAAGCACCATTAAACGATTGGCGCTTGTAATGGAGACTGTATTTTCTGTCATGCAAGAACCGAATTTTGAAATATTTCGATGAGGCTGATGCCGACACTCCAGCCACAAGGCTGTTAGAGAGGAGGTGGGTGCTGAACTCACTCTGCGGAGCATATTGAGCAGATCATCACGAGAAAGAGCAGCAGCAGTAGCAGCAACAGCGGCCAGGAAACAGCGGGCTTGCCGGGTCTCCACATCACTGCGAACACCATAATTCCTGGCCCCTGCACAATTTACATTCACCCTAACACCGTGTGTGCTGGAATATACAAAACGCATATGAATTCTTAAGCATGAATTCCTCTCTGGAGTCCTAGACGTAGATGGAAGAATAAAATTAAAACAACTATTAAATAAACTGGGTGGAAATATGTGGAATTGATTTATCTGGCTCAGGACAGTGACCAATGGCAAATTCTTATGAAAAGGGTAATGAACTTTCCTGCTATGATCTCCTTAGTTATGATATTATATAGACTAATATGTTGTTACTGATATTTCGGAAGAATATGCTGCCACAATCTTCATGGTAGAGCAGAATATGGATTTTCACTGGCGTGAAAATCTCAGATCTTAGATAGTAATAAAGTTTCGACTTCAGAAAGGGGGGGAATTTATACACATTACAGTATACAGTATACATATTACACATAACCGAAGCTGTAATGTAAACCCACACGCTCCACGGCCATATTCTAAAGAAGTGCAAGGAACAGTAATCAGCCTGGCCGACCGGTTACATATTCCAAAAACTATAAATGAAATCACATATCCCCTAAATTGTTACAAGAAGGTAAATAAATAAGAGAAAGATAAGGAATATAATTTTCGTAGTTCACACCAATGAAACTATAAGCGTGAATGCATAATACGATGCGGAAGGAAGAGAGGTAAGAATCGAGTTGAATTCATTATAAAACAATTAACTGAAGGAGGTAAGGAAATCCACAACAATTCCTCAGGGTATGAGGTTATGACAGAAGTGGTCATGAAGACCTGCATCTTCTGGAATCGAAATGACGCGAGAAACCTTCATGAAAGAGGCATGCCTGCTCCAGAACCACCTCTGTGAGAACCTCAAACCCTACTGGTTTGTGGCGATTTCCTTAATTCCTTGCTTTACTTCATTTTCGCCACAAAGTTGGAGGCGACATATTCTTCCTAAATATCTGTTCACTTTCGCCTGCTACACAGCGTTACATTTTAGAGGAAATAACTCTTCACAAAAATTGTCATCAAAGAAAATCATTTTGCAGAAATTCTAAACCGGCATGTCCCGAAAGTTCGGCAGGGACTGTAACACTACAGAACAGCGTTTAACCCTGCTGAAAGCAGAAACCGAGTGTTAGATACTCCGGTCTCGTTTCAGGGGCCACCCGGTTCCTCTTTGGTCGGGCCTACCCACTACGTTACCTGAGATATTGGAATAATTCCTTGAAGTGGAAAGCGACCCCATTCTCCTATAATCTTTTCAATCCATCATTGACCATCATATTTACACTGTCGAGAAGATGTAGATAATGAACTAAGACAAAAGTAGAAAAGTTCATTTTTTAATATTGCATCACGGAACTTCCGAGTAGGTAAATATATACCAACATGATGAGAGTAACGACCCGTTTAAAATTTATAAATTACTGTCACGAGTCAAGCCTCAAAATCCGCCCCTTTCCAGCAGCTTAGTTCACGGAGCAGACTGTTGTGGCGCTAACGTTATAGATTTCTATTCAGGAAGAACCGTGTTCGAATCACAGTCGTGTGCCTGACTATGGGCATTAGTGATTTTCGTGGTCTTCCTCAGTTTCCCCATATAAATTTCGAGTTAAAATCTTGAAATAAAATACAATTATCTCTTTTGAAACACAGATCGTGATCGACATACAAATCAATCGACCCTACTGTCCTGTAACATCTGCAGTTGAGTCAGGTTCTAAATTGGCATAGGAATCAATGAACACTGCCTGCCAAGTAACACATTGATAGCTTGGGGCATTCCCTCACTTCGCAATGGAAGATCCGGAGCTGGGCAGGTCGATCCGGCAGCGATTAAATCTTGACAATGGACAATTATGCAGTGCTGCACTTTCTGCGCGGATTCAATTTCTTTTGCGCTTGCCTTTAGGAATCCCTTAGCACTTCGGTACCGTGCATCCTCATGCATTGCCTACCGCAACGTTATCACTGTGACACAGTTTGAGGCTGATGGAAATGTAACGCGCTTCTCTAACTTTAAAACACCCTCTGCAGAAAAGGAATCCGAGACCCCACTGTGAATGTAGCAAGAAGAAGAAAGAAAGCAGTCTTCTGGGATTNGAAGAAGAAAGTTGGTTGGTTGGTTTGTTGGTTTCCAATGGCTGCATTTGGGATCATTTAACAGAATTTGATTCTTACTTCCCAATCGAGAGAGCTCAAGTTCTTGCTTTGTTGCATCTTGAAAAAGTTTGNCTGTCTGCTTTTACCCGTTCTCACGGTCTCTTCGCTTGCGGATTTCTTATATTTTTCTTCTACCCTGAATATGGAGGCGACACGTTCCTCCGAAACGTCGGTTAACACCACATATACACGGTGCCAAATCCCAGAAGACTGCTTTCTTCATAGTCACCGCCGTGAAAGCCTCAAATCTTATAAGAAGAAGAAGAAAGTTGGTTGGTTGGTTTGTTGGTTTCCAATGGCTGCATTTGGGATCATTTAACAGAATTTGATTCTTACTTCCCAATCGAGAGAGCTCAAGTTCTTGCTTTGTTGCATCTTGAAAAAGTTTGAACTTTTCTTTTGGGAATCTTTGCCAGGTATGTTGCTCATTTTGCACTACCCAGGGGACACATACTCGTATTACTTAAAGAATGTCACGGACGCGAGCAACGTTGTCAGTAGGCTCCGTGATTTATACAAAACAGGATCCAAAATAGGTATGTAACGGAGCTGTCAGCAACTCGGGCTCTGTACCCTCATACGAGATAATAACAGTCAATAACGAGTTGGGGGGAATGTGGAAGAAAACGGCCGTACCTCCTATGAGATATTCTCCGGGCGGACGGACTGAGAAAGACCATGAGAAATCTGGGAAAGGAAAACTAGTTTCTGGGCCTATATTTTAATCCGAAGCCCCCGAATATGATGCAAGAGAGTATTCACATGATAACGACGTTCGTTTCCAAAACATATCTAAATAATTCACACGTTAGTAGGCATAAACAAACAAGAAGTACATATGTAGATCCTGAGGTTCTCAGGTGGATTGTTATAAAGAGTTCTATCTTCAGGAATATAACGCCATGCAGTCCGTTGAAAGTCAATCGACGTTTCGAAGGAACATGTAGCATCCAGACTTTCTGCTTTGTCACCTGATTTCACACTAGTTTCTTATTTGGCTTACTTTTCAGCCGTGAATTTCGAGGCGACATATTCCTTCGAAACGCCGGTTGACTTTCAATGAACTACACGTCATTATATCCCAGAAGATAGAAGTCTTCAAAAAGTATATATATTTCCATTTAAATATTATCATCATCCTGTTTATATTGGACCGTCTGTGACGGCCTCATACTATACTTCTCTTCCTCCTAGGTACGTATGCTCTAACCTGTTTTCGAGTTTTGTTTCCTTCCATCTGTCTTACACGTCGTTTCCAATTAGTTCAGCTTTTTGTAGACCTATATATCTGTTGCTTCCTTGAATTATGATTCTTCTAAAATACGTCAATTTCATCTGTGATGTAATAGAGTATAACATATATCCATCCTCTTTAATATTAATTCCAATATATATGAGACAAACTCCGTCTTAAGTGCAACAATTTAATTGTAGTTCTTTCTTCTTCCCTTCCTCAACAGCACACGTATTAAAGATAAGCAGCGACACACACAGAGAGAGCCTACACAGAACAATATCTGAACAGCGATAAAACAAGAAGTGGCCGCTGCAGCACTATAGACATAGGGCGTGTACCCCGAGAAATTTTTAATTTTTAAAAATTTGGAAAAAGAAAAAGAACAGAAAATTTATAGACATTTTAATTTGAATTGAAGTTTTAAAAAAGTGCCAATTTTAGAAATCATATTGACGCGTGTAGGTTAACAAAGATTTTATACATACATACAACAGGAAAGACTGGTGATTTTAAATTTTAAACTACGGGCACTGTAGCAGCTACGTAAGAATACACACCTGATGATGGCCATTTAGGGCCGAAACATGTAGTGTAGAGGAAGGGAAGAAGAAAGAACTACAATTAAATTGTTGCACTTAAGACGGAATTTGTCTCATATATATTGTGTGAGTGTAACAGGATGCTTAAATATAATATTAATTCCAATGTTGACGATCTCTTTTCACCTATGTTTGTAATTATTCGAACTTCAGTTTCGTAAGCCAACACAGGTCTTCCCAGAGTTCTGCAAATGCTGCATCCGGTAGGCCTACATTTTGTACAAATAATGGTTTGAAAACCTGACTCCAGTTGCTTGTACAAAATTTGATTACGTATCTTTAGAGTAAACGGACTGTCGTAAATGGAAGACTGTTAAGCCTTCTAACTAGGTAGTGAGAAATATTTAACACTTGCACAAGCCGTGGCGTTATGGCTGAACGAGAGAATTTCTATGTATATGACTGAATGTAGAACAATAGCAGTTCATTGTTATGACTCTATATGTCTATATAATACCATAAATAATGCAACTATTTCTGTCACCCCTTTCCTTCACAACAGGTTTCGTCCTCAAACGGTCATCATCAGTGTCTCAGCCAAAATTATGCCATTGTATAGAATTCCACTCCTTCACAGCAAATATTACCGCGACATTTCATGATTTAAAATAGTGGATGTTATATTCGATACTTAGTTAACATCCACAAACAAAGGAAGACAACACCATATGCAGATGGAGAGAACGACATACAGGCAAGGGACAAAACCTAACCACAACAACGAGCTTACGTACGGAAAACAACACGAGAACACCCAGGCCCCTACAGTATAAAAATGCAAAGAGGGGATATCGAAGTATCGGTTGGACAAATGGACGACGTCCCTAGTAGAGGGTAAAAAAGAATTTTACAAAATTTGTAATGAATTTCAATGCAAAGTACATTACAGCGTATGGTATTTTAACTAAGGTTAACTAAGGGTCGATTATAATATAAAATACTATTTCGAATCATGTAATATCGCAGTAATAGGAGTATGTGATGTGAAAAAGTGGACATTCTATATACAGTGAAACAGATTTGACATAGCTGAGACACCTGGTGATGGTCGTTTGTGGCCAAAACTTGTTGTGAAGAGAAGGAATGATAGAAATAGGTCTATTATTCACGGAATTATGTTGTGTATAAAAGACCCGTCTGGCAGTAACAGCTCCCAGAAACTCACGGTGAATATCCGAACAGCCAAGTTGTTGGTATATCTAGGTCTTTTGACATATATGGCGAATGGACTGAACTGGCATGGGTGCAAAATAGTAGTTCATGACTGAAAAGGAGAAGCTAGGGATAATTAGCATAAGGTTCTTCGGTAGCACGAGCAAGGAGAACTACAGATGAAGGCAGGATATCTGGAAACACTGACAAATGGAAGCGAGGTGGAAGATGATCAGTGCAGAAAAGAAGAGAGGTTAAAGAAGGTCGTATATGATGAAAATGAGTTCACAGTTGAAAGCTACATTGTAAATATCGTGTATAGTATTGTAAACGTGTTGTCGGATCTTTGTTTCTTAGCAGACTGCTCTACCTCAGTCCTGATGAAGAAGAATATATGGAACTGCTCTAACGTACTAGTGCTTATGCAACTGAGGTAGGCTGGGTGAGAATTGTGGGTTTATAATCAGTGAGCTGGGCAAATTACTTATAACCCACAATTCTCTCATGTAGGTGTGGCCTAAGAAAGAAAAACCTAGGATAATCACGAGTTGTAGCAGCGTCAATCTACCAATAGCGTCTTCGTGAGATTAATTAAAACTTCGGTCAGACCAATACACATAAGAGCAAAGGTATTGTATAAATGCCAAACTGTACCAGGAGCTCTGGTTGTTTCAACCACTTATCAAAATAAAAGTGCAATTGGTCACGGTATAGGACATGTGCCAATAGAAATATTTGAAACGGTCTGACCTGAAGTCAATACCCTACACGACAGCTCTGGCTTCACATTTCAAGAAGGAAAGGCGGTGTTATAAAAGGTGCAGGACGGGCCAGTGCAGTATTAAAGTCATTTTCCCCCGTTACGAAATCTAGAGGATAAACGACTCTTTTATCTCATTTCACGGCTAAACTGAAAAGAAAATTGAGGAATGCATAAATTTATTCAATATAAAAATGCCTGAAAATAATAAATTATCTTCTGGGACTTGACTCTGTGTAGCTTAGGAGAGAGATACATGAGTTTCGAAGAAATATTCTGTCTTCATCTTCAGCTGACCTAAAGAAGAAAGTACGTGCCACCGAAACGTTAGTGCATATTTACCAAACTACATAGCATCATATCCCAGAAAATGACTATCTTCGGGGTCACCACCATGGAATACTTAAGTCTATACAAAGTGCCTGCCTTCTGTACATTCCTTATTTCCATTTTTTTTATTTATTTGCCCCCCCCCTTCCTTCTGTGAGTTCATTCCATCAAAAGTGCCCCGGATTCTGAACTATGTGGTCTTAATTGATCTGATTAAGTTATCTTAAGACAGAATACCCAAATTATGAATATAAGCAGGGTAATTGATGTAAACAAAGGAGCGAGTCTGCATAGCGTATTATACGAAATCACGAGGTTTTAAATTGCTCGAGGACTGAAATCGGCTCTTTTTTAATCCCCGAAATCAATAGTTATCATGCAGCAAATAGAATAATACAACAGGGGTCAGAAAAAGAACCTCTTTCACGGACAAAAAAATTTTCTGTCCACACCCGTGGTACTAACTAAGCATGCGTAGCGAAGGAGTACACCTTTCTACTTCTGGCCATCTTGACACAAGGAAATATATGAGAAATTTTGTACAGGACATTTTGTTTCTTCGTACAATTTGTCACATCACTAGCTGATAGCACTCCTCCCATGTTGCAACTGTTGATCTCACCAAACTGAAATGGTGAGAAGTTTCACTTCCCTCAGAGTTGATGTGCATTGGCACCCAATAAGAATATTCCAGTTGAGCGGGGCAAGCGGTAGCGTAGTTGGTTGAGGCACTATCGTCAAGACGGAAAGTCGTGGGTTCGATTCCCGATGAAGTTAATTTTCTCACTTTACCTAATCCTTACAGCTGCACTATGGTCCTGGATTCGACTAAGCCTCTAACAGAAATAAGTACCAGGAATCTTCTTCGGGGGGTAAAAGGCGGCCGGGGCGTAAGCCTGACAACCTTACCGGTATTTGTGAGCAGATTGTCTGTAGAAAATGTGGGAGCCTCGACGTGTTATAATCCTATGGACCTTCACGGCCTGTAACTCGAACCTGCGACCTTCCGGCCTGTAGCAAAGTGCCTAAACCAATTACGCTAACGCGTGCCCCTAACTGTACGTCACATCCGAAAAGGTCTTAATCTTAATATTCACTGTCGTGAGAACCTCAGATCTCGCGCACCGCACCTAACTGTTCTCCAATCTAACCCGACAATGCATAGTCCTCACAGTCGACATTATACCATTAAGTAACTTGTAAAATCGATCATGTGAGCCTCGAAGGTAGTGATTACTTTGCATTTGAGAAATGCCAGGTCACAACTTCGGCTCGGGGGCCAGCTATCCTGAATGCGTCTTTCCACGATATTCCTCATCTTCCAAAGAGAACACTGGGACAGTGCTTCAAAATATGTCACGAACATGGTGAATTCAAAATCCGGTATCAGTAGCAACTGTTTAATAATCTTCTACTTTTACTGTGATATTTCATTGGCAATGCGTAGTACTGGAACGCGAGACATGACTTCGGTGACGCTGTTATAAACAAATTACAAATGTGAAATTAGTTCTAAACATCTTTTAAATGTATACTGTCGCTCTTCTACACAGCTTAATGAAGAGACATTGTGACAATGTCCAGGACTCACCTGAGAATGCCAAAAAGTGTACCGTGGTGAAGTCGGTATCGGGTAAAACTGAAGTCCCGCAGAGCCGCGCGCCACAGCAGTGGCCCAAACTTAGCGGTGCAACCGTCAAGAAATCAATTGACAAGTACTTAGTGGCGACCAATCAGAAGATGCAGCAGTCAGCGCCTTTGTCGACTGTTAATTCGTCCCTAATCATCTCATAGGAATACACAAAAGGTAAATTTGTCCCTGTGCTTCATTAGTAAGCACTATGCCATGAAGACATGTGGGGGAGTGGATGTATAGCTCCAATATTCTTGACATCGGCACTAGATGGAGGTGAGTGGAGTTAAACCTCCACTCATCCATATGTCTTAGTGACATTGTACTTAACTAATTAAGCACAGGGAGAACTTTACCGTAGGAACATGACAAGAATCGAGAGGAGTACTTGAAAGGAACACACGCATATTTTTCTGTCGGGGTGGTGAAACCACTAAGACTACAAATATATATGGTAGTTAATGTTACACCGTCACCACAACAATGCATACTCGCTTTTAATGTTTATAACTAAACCTTTATTTTGTTGCATGTTTCGGTCACACAGGAAACATCATCAGGCAGTTAATATGAAATACGTCTAGCCATTGAATTACTAATATTAACTGCTTGATAATGGTCCTGTGTGACCGAAACATGTAGCAAAATAAAGGTTTAATTGTAAACATTAAAAGAGAGAATTCATTTGTTGAGGTTACGGTTTAACATAACTACCATACAAGAGTATATATCTGGAACACACATGATACACTTTATGAAGATAATTCAGTAAGACCACGTTTGGTTGGACATGTAGCTCAAAATGGGAGATAAATATATACACAATTTTTATGGAGAACCTCTTGCAAAACTGCGATTTTGAAAACCAGCAAGAAACCAGAATAAAAAGCAATGGAAGTTAGTGAAAGTCAGAGATGCAATGAATTTTTAAGCTCTTATCCAATATCAGGATTTCAGACTGAATCCGCGGTAGCGTAGTTGGTTGAGGGGCTATGCTGCAAGCCAGAATGTCGCGGGTTCAAGTCCCGATGAGGTCACTGGATTTTTTCAATTGACCTAATCCTTCCAGCCGCACTATGGCCCTGGGGTTGACTCAGCCTCTAACAAAAATGAGTACCAGGAATTAATTAAATAATTGTCCTGGGGTGTAAAAGGCGGCCGACGCGGAAGGCTGAAAACCTTACCGCCATCTTTGAGCCGATTGTCTAGATAATGTGGGACCCTCAACGTCTCACGACCCTATTGGTTTCCACGGTCTGTTACAGGGATAACTTTACTTTTTACATTTTACCCTCCCTTTATAATTTCAGGGGTTATGAATTTCAGCTGACTTCTAAATTCCTTGTACTTGACAAGTATGATGCCGAGCGAAGGAATCGAAACCGAAATGATGATAGAACGACAAAATGTACTCAGATATTAATCGAGTACGTTTAAAGCTTTGACGAAAAGCTATTTCAGAATCTGAGATGTTGATTAAAACAGATTAGGACTTTCAGACATATGTGATGCACCCTCACTTGAAGGCTCTTTAATGTAGAGGCCTGAAGACATCCCTAGCAAGCAATGTGTGAATTGAGCCCAGGAGACACCTATGGGATGTCAGAGAACCTTTGTTCATAAATTTTATTTCATTTATGATCATGTGAAAGGTTTCCTTTTATGCTTCTAGGACAGTGAACCAACTATGTATCTCTATGCATGTTAAAAGAGTTGTGAACGAGGGGGAAAAAAAGGTGGAGGGAAGTCTCTCTCGAGATGCGATCGCATTCGATGTTCCGAAGAAGCATGTTTCCAGTGAAAGGCTGTCTTCCTCTTTGTGCTGAGAAGAGCAGAATCGACCGACTTGGAGCACCCTCCACAAGAACTAATGCTGATTAGCCAGAAAACTGGGACGCAAAAGAAAGAACTATATGAACGATGTATTGCACGTTAAATGTCACACAGTCTGAAATTTTGCATGCATGAATTACATACTCGTACAGTACAGGATGTTTGCAAAAATGTATTTGGCTGCTTACATAAGGGTATATTTAGTGAACACTTTCAGTCTAGACTGGCTATTATCACTGTAACCTAGAGTCAAGCAAACAGTCTATAATCTAGGCGAAGGTTTGCTTGATGTAGTATTTAAAGAAATTCTGTCAATCGCCGATACGTGTAAACAAACTTGATATCAGGCACTTACAATCCGAACCTACGTAACATCGTTAGTGTTAGTGTCAAATTAAGAATATAAATACAGTAAAACTTGGTTACAGCAACATCGGTTTCTGCGACACCTTGTCTATTGCGTCAAATATTCAATGGTACGAACTAATTCCTCATAAAGCAACTGTTTTTATACCTTGCTTAGTACGACATGCACAAATGCATCAACCTCGTATGTAACGTCATTTTCATTCCTGAATTTCTCTGATATGGACATTGAACGTAATTTAGAAAGTGTGTATTGGGCAAGTAACAGGAAACAGATGAAGATAACTGATTACTGTACTCGTATCTAGGTACAGTAAGGCACAACAATTGATGTAATCTACTGTAATTTGGTGAGTAGGCCTACCTTTAATATACAGTATTAGTGCGGTGTGTATTGTCAGTGAAAAGCGCTGTAATATGTCTTTGATATTACACATTTGGGCAATTCCACGTTAATGTTACGTTAGTCTGTACTTAACTACGTATTTCACTAAAAAATGCAACATTTTTAACTCGGTTTTTGGTAGATTTTTACGTGACTAACATAAGGCTACTGTGGAAGTGCCCATTTCGGTTACAACGACACTCGTTTATAACGACACTATTTTTAGGTCCCTTTGATGACGTTATAACCAAGTTCTACTGTATATGGAATAATTTATAGTGGTAATTTAAAGATTATGATAAAACCGTTCTAATGTGGTTTGTACTGTACAAATTTAAAACTAATAAACTCGTTCCTCAGTCCAGGGTTCATTTGGCGACACGCGTGTTAGATACCATTTAACTCAGTTACTGCTTTCCTTAGGACTGGCTGGTTATTTAACACCGTATGAACTGGGAAGACGACGATATTCAAAACAAGTTGTATTGTAAAATGTACGTGTATTCCTTAGTGACCGTTGCAAACATCAAGTCAAGTTTAACTCTAACAAACGCTGGTTGCGACTTTCTAGATGTGAGACCACAGTATATGTAGTATATCGTGTACCCACATTAATCCTTCCAGCCGCGCTATGGCCCTGGGGTCGGCTCAGCCTCTGACAGACATGAGTACTAAAACGACGAATCTTTCCGGAAGCAAAGCGTGGCCGGCGCGTAGGACTGATCTCACCGCCATGTGTGAGCAGACTGTCTAGAAAACGCGAGAGGCTCGACGTCTCAAAATCACATGGACCTCCACGGTGTTAAAGGGTTAGCTTTACCTCTTTTACTTGTATCTGGTTTTATAATCGACGCTAGTTAAGCTTACCGGGTTATCATTTTGCTTCCAGATAATTTCATTATTTTAAAGTATTGTACTTTATAAAGCGTAATATATATGAGACTGTGGCACGACTCCTTACAAGGATGCAGTAAGAACATTAGCAGGTGATGGAGATATTACTGTTGACGAGCGTGCAATGTATGTATATTCATATTACTACAAAGCAAGACACCATGTTGTGTTTCAATATCATTACTCTTCCACCCCCAAGTAATGGAATTTTATGAAATATTTGTTGCGCGATTTTTTTATACCAAATGCCTATCTTACATTATATAGATTTGCAATATGCTAAGTAGTTTATTACCCACCTAAGTTCCTGTGTTGATACCAATGATGGGGCATTAAAATATACCAAAATGCATGGGTTTATTACTCCTAGTTAATCACACTAAAACTGTCCACTGCCACAGTCTCGTAACTTCTAATAGGACCATCATTTGGTGGCAGTGAACGGTGTCTTCAACTTTGCTCTGTTCTCTTGAAGTAAGATAATCTGGAGTTGGGTACCAGTGGAAGTGTCCACAAAGAATAAATGGAATGTTGTGCTAGGTAAGCTGTTGTTGCTTGATTAGTTCAGTGGCTTCACCATATGAGATCTTAGGTTTCAGAGTCTGGCGGGACTTCATACAAGGATGCAACTAAGAACAGAAGATGGGCACGGAAATGTTACTGTTGAAGGTCATTGAATGTCTATGAGGTGGTATGACAGGGTTAGTGCAGTGTTTCCTCCGTCCCATGTTGTATGACAAGAATAACTTTCTAGGTGTGAATATGTTAGTTCAAGAAAAGTAACAAATTAAATATATCGAAATATTTACTAGTCTGCACTGTATGTGAGACAATCTGATAAACACTGTAAGGGATAAAGTAACAAGGTACAGCTGAATCATACACCACCATTTAAGAGTGGCCTATGGATTGATAAACTGGAGTTCTGCAGTTACGTACGAAGATGCGTAAGTGATATGAAGCGTTACCAAGGATGCGTGTTAATATATTTTGAATGTGTATGGGAAATATATCTGTAAGAATTTTAACGAGTGCTTCCAAAAGTAGGGCCCTACACACTTTTCTGATGGAACATATCTTCATATGCCACAGGATGGGGTGCAACCCCACCTCCTCTTTCAAATTCACCCACATCTGGAGAATATGTCCAAACATGTACCCTGAAAGCAGAGGTTGGTGCCATACTTACTACTAAGCATTCAATGTTACAGTGACTTCTAAGGTTTGAAGTTTCAAAAGGTCTATGTACTAGGCCAGTTACAATACTATTACTCAATCAAGGAACCTACATATGCAGTTCTGTGGCTCCAAACAAGGAACAGGATTCATTCCGAACTCAGAACACTAAAAGAATTCTAAGAAAAAAATATATTAATCTATCTTTAACTGACTATAAAAGGAATATGGCGATCATATGTTCAGAAACTATGGTATACTGATATTGACGTCCTGTCCTGGAGAAACAAAAGTTAATGGATAACAATGGGAAGTTACAGACGTCCAGAAAGTCACCCACCCCAAGGGGTTTTAGGAAGTTCTAATTTTTCTGGAAATAATAGCTTTTCATACGTAACTTTTCATTCATTATTCTGAGTTTACATATGCAGTTGATTAAGTTTCTTTCAACCTCTGGGATATTCTGTTCTCAGACTTTAGAAGCTTATGGTTTCTCCAATTTGTCAACCTCCTCAACTTCATACACACGTCTATTTCTTCACAAACAACATAAAACATTCTTGTAGACAGCATCTGGAAACTCAAGCAGCAGCAAATGTGTGAAGAAGCTAGGAGATCCTGTTTACCTTCTGTACAATAAAGTAAAAAGAAAACTACAGTTAGTTCTTTATTTCATTCTGAAGTTAAAAGGTGGAACCGGTAGATATACTGATTATGCAAGTGTACACGCCAACATCAGAGTATGAAGATGATGAAGTGGAAAAAGTGTACGACACAATTGAAGAAATTCTTCAGGAAGATGGAAGAGGTGACACAAACAGCATCATATTGGGAGACTGGAATAGCATTGTTGGAGATGAACCATATCAGAATATTGTTGGATCACATGGACTAGGAAGACGGAATCACAGGGGTCAAATGCTTATAGATTTTTGTGAACGAAATGGACTGATTGTCACCAACACTTGGTTCAAGAAGCCAAAGAGAAGAATTTACACATGGAAGGCACCTGGGGATTGGAGGAGGCATCAGCTGGACTACATCCTTGTGAAACATCGATTCAGAAACAGTGTGAAGGATGTGAAGACACTGCCTGGGGCAGATATTGAATCTGACCACGACTTACTTGTTGTCAAGTTCCGAACCAGGTTGAAGAAAATTATAAGATTTCGAAAGCGCAGACCCAGATGGGATTTGGAGAAGTTATATGCTCAAAGACAAAGCGTGCAAGAGACTCTAGAAGAGAAACTCGGTGCAATTGAAGGTGAAAGCGGAAATGCTGAAGCGCAGTGGAACGATATAAAAGAATGCATGTTAGATACTATCAGTGATTTGGTAGGTAAAGTTGAGAAGATAGCAAGAAAACCATGGGTTACACAGGAGATGATGAGTAAAATGGAGGAGCGAAGGAAATGGAAGAATGTCAACAATGAAGAAGGCAGGAGGAAATACAGGAGACTGAGGAATGAATTGAAAAGAGCCACGGACAGGGCCAAAAAGGAATATCTTGAGAAGATATGTAATGAGATTATGGAATTTCAAAGAACAGGCCGTTATGATTTGATGTACATGAAGACAAAAGAACTAGGATGGAAAGAGAATCATGGGATTCAAAATGTTGGCATCGAAGACTCCCAGGGGAATAGAATAGTAGATCAGAGGCAAGTGCTGAAAATTTGGGAAAATTATATTTCAGAACTATATGATCGACCTAATCGGCCAGAAACCTTAGAAGTTGAACCGGAAGAAGAAGTAGATACAGACGAGAAAGGACCATATATTTTACAAAGTGAGGTGGAAAAAGCTATCAAGGAAATGAGGAAGGGAAAGGCTACAGGAGATGATGATGTACCTGGAGATGTGCTCAAGTTACTGGGAGAAGGTGGTTTGAAAACACTGACAAAACTAATGAACACCATATATGAAAGTGGAGAGTGGCCCAAGGACTTTACAGAAGTTACAATGATTGCCTTAAAGAAAAAGACAAAAGCTACAAAATGCAGCGACCATCGCACAATAAGTCTTATTGCACATACAGCAAAGATAATAGCAAAGATACTTAAAAGAAGAATTGAAAGGAAAATAGAGGATGTACTTGGAGAAGATCAGTTTGGATTTAGAAGAGGAAAAGGAACCAGGGATGCAATTGGGATGATGAGAATTATAGCGGAACGAACTTTGGAGATAGATGAAGAACTGTGTGTTTGCTTCATAGACTGGCAGAAGGCATTTGACCGGGTAAACTGGACCAAATTAATGCAGATCCTGAAAGAAACAGGTATCGATTGGCATGAAAGAAGATTGATTAGCAAATTGTACATGGATCAGAAAGTTAGAGTACGACTGGACAGGGGGGAGACAGGAAGTGTGCAGATTGGAAGAGGAGTTCGACAAGGATGCTGTTTATCACCAATTCTGTTCAACTTGTACAGCGAATGCCTTACCAAGGAAGCTCTGGATGGGCTCGGTGACTTCAAAGTAGGAGGGCAAATTATTCAAACTGTGAAATATGCAGATGACCTTGTGTTAATGGCTAAGGAAGAAACTGTGCTACAGGGCATGATTGATAGACTAATTGAAATTGGAAGGTGCTATGGCATGGAAATGAATGTGGAGAAAACAAAAGTAATGAAAATTTCGAGACAACCAACCCCAGTCACAATAAAGATAGACCAAAAACAACTGGAGAATGTGAAATGTTTTAAATATTTGGGTAGCTTGTTAACAGATGATGGAAGGTGTACTTGTGAAATTAAATCCAGGATTGCCATGGCAAAAGCTGCATTTAGCAAGAAGAAGAATCTTTTTACCAGCAAATTGGACTTAAATTTGAGGAAGAAACTAGTGAAATGCTACATTTGGAGCATAGCTCTGTATGGGGCTGAAACATGGACACTTAGGGCAGTAGATCAGAAACATCTGGAAAGTTTCGAAATGTGGTGTTGGAGAAGGATGGAGAAGATCAGTTGGACCGATTATGTGAGAAATGAAGAAGTGTTAATTAGAGTCAGTGAGCAGAGGAATATCCTACACGAAATAAGAAAACGGAAGGCTAATTGGATTGGTCATGTTTTACGCAGAAACTGCCTTCTAAAAGAAGTTATTGAAGGAAAGATATAGGGGCGGATAGAAGTGAGAAGAAGAGGAAGAAGACGTAAGAAGATGCTGGATGACCTTGGGGACAGAAGAGGATACTGTCATTTGAAGGAGAAAGCTCTAGATCGCATTAAGTGGAGGAATTGTTTTGGAAGAGACTGTGGACCTGTCGTCTGACAGATTACTGATGAATGAATGAGTATGTTAAGCTTAACATGTATTCTCTAAAGCAAATGTCCACTAAGGCTGCATATTTTCTATGAGTACTGATCAAATAATGGGCATAAAGGCAAAGTCATGTACTGCTAATGTGGATCAAACATCTGGACAAAGTTCTGGGGTCCCTGATTTTGTTACATATATTGTCCAATGATAGAATGTAGACGGTAGTCAGATGTATTGAAATCTTAACTCGTGACTCAACTTTACAGTTCACTACTACACAAACACACTAGTGTCCATAGTCATGTCTTCACTGCCATTGCTTGGTAGCAGCTTCCAACAGCTAACTTCCTCTAGGTTCCCAAACTGCCCCCAGCCTCAGGTACCAGCAAAAGCTCACAATGACTGTGCCCCAACAGTTCTCTAACTGCAACTGCTAACTGGTCCTGCTGTATTCTCTTGTTGCCATGGAAACATGCTTCTTTGTAGAGCCGTTACTTAGCAATGGCCGTTGTACAGTTGCTTGCTTCATGGTCATTGCCTAGCAATGGGTCTAAACGCCACAATATGTAAAAGTTTCAATCCATTTCCTTTTTGTCAGACAAACTGTTAACTGTTAAACCCTCTTTTATTTTAAAGAATTTTTTTAGTTGGTTATCTAATGATACTATCAATAACAAGACTATACAGCATTGGGAAATTCAGCCATGCCAGTGACTGATATCATGATGCAGTCTGCCAATTTCTTTCCCTTCAGAAATTATATCACTCGTACATAAGCTGTCATGTGATGAGTCACAATCAAACAGAAATAAAGTTTTCAGCTTCTTCTTTGTATACATAATCTTACTTCCTATACACTATAAACAGCAAACTCTCCCATTTTTCCCTGACACTTCAAAGAATAACCATTACCTAACTGGAACCTACAAAAAGTAAAAACACGTATGTAGAAAGAGTTGTGATACAAATATACCAATAAAGCATCTTAAATGTATGTATATAAAACATTTCAATATGAGGAGAGTTCAGTTCATATAACAACATATCACACACAGACACAATGACCAAATATTTCATTTCTCATTCTTTAATGCTGCAGATTAGCACGGACATTTACACTTTCACACCTTCATTCTAAACATTCATTTCACTACAGATCCATTACCTAAATTTTATGATATATTTTAATAGGAACCAATATTAGACCAGTTAGCATACTTCTTATTCTTGCATATCACTTCACAATTATCATTACCAAAGAAAACTATAAACTTCTACTTTTCATCTGCACAACACAAGGGCTTGGAATGCAGAGAATGAGACTGCCTCTGTTGAACAGAATCTATATCTAAACTCACTTAATTCTGCAACAGACAACCCACTGCTAGGTCCTGTTTCCTGAGTTTACACACAAATGATGTTTTGATTGCACAATACTAACTAATGCAAGACCATATTTGAGAGTAATGATCTTGGCACACAATGATTATATACAATCAACATACGACCAGTGTTGCAGCTTTAAGGACTGTATAAAAATGCAAATGACACAAGTTGTAGAAAATAAATATAATAAAAACAAGATACTACAGTCTGTAGTGACTCCCTGTGGGTTGGAAAACCAGAATTTGATTCCTAACAGTGAGAGGATTTTAGGCATTCTTTATAAAGTAAAAGACACCTTATGCAGAGGTCATGTCAGTTCATGTCCACCTGCCTGTAACCTGAAATCAGCTCCTAAACCACTAGATAGACTTCTTAAAATACAATATGGGAGAATTTCACTGAAGTTCCAAATCAGTTCTAAGTTTTAGCAATAATGAAACATAATAAAATCCTCTTTACTTATAGTCATATATGGACTACCTTACACATATCATAAACTTTAATTGGATTTGTATGAAATTTGACATGAGAGATATTTGCATAATATCAGTAGGCCATTTTTTTTAACATACTGACTACACCCCTTTACATAAGGCCATAAATGGACTTTTCAATGTATGCCATAAACTGTGACTGCAGCTGTATTTTGTATTCCACAATACCCTTCTACCTCTTTTGCAAGGTGTAAGGGATAGCACAGTGCCTCATATATACGATTAGGCCAAGAACACGCTTAATACACTACAAACAACTCCATTAGGAATTATCATACACTGTGTTATGGAATTCATTTTTTCCAATCTTGTTCTCTTTGCTCTTTGCTGTCACATGTGGACTGGCTCCAGATCCTCTGTCTGCTATTCAACATATACCTGCGACTTCTTCCCTGGGAATAAAACAGCCAGAGCATGGAGCTGGCCAGACTGATTGTCAAGAATGAACACAATGATTAATGCAGGTCAATACTCTTCTTACAAACTTTAATTCCTTGCATTCTATTATTACTTCAGCATGGTTCATGGGCACAGCAAATGATCACCATAAATCTGACTCAACCTTCTGACCATTTAAATAGGATTTTGAGGACTTAGACTCTGTTATTAAAAGGCCATAAAGGGTTAAATACCTATACATCATATATAATTTTATACGAATGTCAGTAGGGCATCTAATTTTTGTGTTCTTTCACCTGCTGCACCTGACCTTGTAAAAGAAAAGTAAAATTATCTGCACCAAATGCATATTACCTAGAATCAGGTTACGATTCTTGGAAATGCCTCAACAGGCATTTCTCTTTATAATCTAAGCTTCAAAATTTCACAAATAAATAAAATTCCCATTTTGACCCATAACATCACTCACTGTGCTCTAATTAAGTAGGCTTACAACTCAGGAGAAGGGCATTAACCTTGGCCCTTTAATACGTCAATAACTTCTGAAATACTGATTTTAGGGTAACTAATTTTTTTTATTAATTTTGGAGTTATAACAAGAACAATAATGCACAAAAATAATATACTCTGGCCTCTTAATGTGTTGACCTTCTTATATATATATATATAAAACACTGATATTCAAATAAAAACATCTCTTCCAATCACATTTATGACAATCCATTGGAGTCTCATTCATGATGTGCACCACAAGGCAGAACCATTCAGCTGCTGAATGAGTGCATCAATATATGATGATCTTCAGTCATGACTACTGTTTCCTTGACACCTAGAACTAAAAACAAAAATAAGCACTCAGCAATAGTTCAACAACATGATATATTACTAGTCTGTATTTAAGAGTGGAATGTCACAGATTATGCTACAGGACTTATGAATATGAGTGATGTTCATGTTCAGAAGCAGAAAATACATGGCCAGGTCATGGTTTACTTGGACGCTAAAAACAACAAAATAATACAAAAGAGACATATAACATTCATAACATTCATGGTCATAGTTTACATTTGTGTCATCACACTTCTTCTCCTTAATGGAAGATGAATATATTTCACACGACACGAACCAAACTGGTTCTAGATCAAAACAAATATTGAACATTACTTTGTAAACAGACTAACTGTAATAATTTTTATATGTTTTAACAAATCAATGTACACCTTAGTATTACTTAAAAGATGTAGCATTTATATCTAGTAGTTTCCATATGTGTTGATAATATCTTTCTGAAGATGGTCGCTTTGACCGAAACATGTAAAGGATGAAAAATTAAAAAACAACTTTTATCAATCACACTGGGCGGTGGTCAAAAATGTCATACACTTTTATTATACAAGCTTTTCATATTTAAAAAATAAACAAATATAATGCCTTAGATTTCCAAGAAAAGTACCAGTATTATTTGGCCAGTGTATTTTATTAAGAAGTTACTCTAAGGGTCTCCCATAAAAAAATATCAAAATCATAGATGATACAGGAGTCAATATACATATGAAGTGTCCATAATGACTAGTTTCTCAACAAAATGAAAAGGACTTGTGAGGTTATACCATCTGTGTCATGTTATATATCTATTTCAGATTGATCACTTCAACTGGTGGAAAGTGGCATTGTGATCTCTATATCCACTCCTTGAAACTCCAATCAGACACAAGGAAATGGGATAATAACATATCTGCACAGTAATGACAGTAAAGCATACCTCTCACTGCTTTACATGCAACTAATATAAATGTCAGCATCATTTCAAGTGATATGGCCACTCTGCATCTGTGTCACCTGCATGCTTGCAGGGATTGTCCATGACATCCAATATAATAAATGCAAGATACAGGTTTACGGATTAAATGAAACTGTCCATAAGTCACCCGTCCAACATTACAAATAATGATTCTCATAAACAAAACTGAGAAGAGCCTTCATTTCAAAATGCAGGTAATGCAATAATGTTTGAAAATCTGCATACAGATAAGCCCAAATCTCCAGAAACACTGCAATAAAATATTCTAAAAAGGGAGAAAAAGCTAATACGTATATTGGCAATCATCTTGGATACTGAATATGAGTTAGTTAGTTAGTTATTTAGAGGGGGTGGGTTTCCCCATGCACCACGACCAGTTTGATCTATTGTGCTTCCCTCTATGATATTCTACCAGTCTCTACACCCTACCGATAAATGGTGCGTATCATCAGTCCCGCCGAGCAAACGAGTTCGGCCACTTGCTTAGCGGTGTCTATAATGCTTCCCCCATCTATCAGAGGCCTTAGAGACTATTGTTGGGTGGGAAACATCCTGGAATTTGGCTCAGTTATCCCCTTTGGGGATATGAGGTTCTTTTACGTGCCGTAAAGTTACGAAAGCTTAAAGTCCCTCCCGGAGGACTTGTTCCCTGAATTTTTCCGCCCTTAAAAATTCAACGACCTCCGCTGGGTATTTGAACCCGCGTATTACGAGTCATGAGGTGGGAACGTTACCTCTAGACTACAGACGCCGCTCTGCATATGAGTTAGTCTAACATCTTTGCAAGACTCACTCCTACAATCCACTTCCTTTCATCTACTAACTGTGAGTGTTTTAAATATCTGAGGTTAAGAATGGGATTCAGTTTCATTTGGACATGTCTGTAACAGAATATGATCAAAATCAGTCATAATTTTTATATAAACCTTTGAAGCATGAAGCTCATCTAAATAATATTTAAAAATACAATTTCTACCTCAGGGAAAACACACTGAAGCTCCCTTACAAAGACAAACCTCTTCATACTGTTTAAGGAAAGAATCGTGGACTATTCTGACAATCTTCAAAATCAATAAATACAATGTATGGGGAAAATGCAATTTTTAAAATTTAAAGCAGGAGGAACATACAGCAACCACTGTGATTTAAATGGTTATGCTCTGGCCATTTCAGGTTTCTTACTAGACTAACAAATAATCCATCAATGCCACAGTCATTCTTCAATGACAGTCTTCAGAACCTGAATATGAAACAATCTCGTAAAAACTTTACAATAATAAACTCACAAATTGTAAAGAAAATGTAAACATCTTAAATTTACATCAGACACAGACTTATTTCATTAAAATGATTATTGATAGTTGTTCAGAATATCCCAGTCTGTTAACCCTGCGCAGTAATAACAACTATGGACTGATGACAGCAAGGTAATTAATTGTACAATGCCAAATAAAATCCTTGTCAAGTACCCAACCTTTAAAATAAAAAATGAACAACTGATCAACTGAGAAGTCTGGGTAACATACTGGTACATTGGCTTCAATTATAATCCTTAATTGTATTTATCAGAAGCAATACAGCACCACAGTGAAAGATACAAACAAAAGTAAATGCAGTTGCCTTGAAAGCAAACAATTACGATATGACAATACTACATATTTCTATGTGTAATAAATATCCCAATCTTTGGCCCAAAAAATGAAGTGAAATGATTTCTAAGGAATATCCTGTGGTCTACTTTCATGTATCCTATCAGTAATCAGTAAAGAAGAGAGGAAAATCAGAAGGGCTGGCCACAGATGATTAAATACAGGTGGGTCTGGGAGAAATGTAAGGTGAACTTCAATGTTTCATTTGTACTGTTCTCAACATAAATGATTTCTTTAGTCTCAAACCCCTTGCAATTCTAGATGATTCCAAGTATATGGTCTTTATATCAAAAGTGTGCCTGTGATCTGTTTTAGCTATAAAAGAAATATTATAAATGGAAAAGGCAAAAGATTTCACACAGACTTTCACCATTTCCAATAACGCATTAGTAGATTTACATAATTTTCTGAAAAGTGACATCGCTTAATAGCATAAGATATATTCATTATTCCATTTGCAACTGAAACATTCTTCAGTTCAGTGTGCTTTCAAAGACACAAGCATTCAGGATGTCAGGTAAAGCAGCAATGCCGGTTGGCCACTATGGCCATTTTAGTAAGTCTTTAAAATAAAATTTGTCATAGACCTCTATTTTCAAGTTAATTTACCTGTACAGAGCTAAAAATCAGAAACAATTTAAGAGCCTGTATGAAAACCTGATTACTTATATCATTTTGTTCAATCTGCTCTGACAGGCAGCCTATATTCCTAAATATAAGGCTGATTTATATCTGGAAATCAAAAGAGTGAGACCTGTCTGTGCAGTTCTGGGATATATGTATATGTTCCTTAGTGGCCCATATGTTGCCTTGTATCTTGTAACATTTTATGAAGAAAATTAATTCTTAAGACCACACAAAAATTCTATCCACATACTCTTTCTGCAGGCTCAAACATACACTTCAGCTACATATCTGTTTACTCAAAAATTGTTTGTACTGTAATCACCTTTGGGATAATACAAAAATACTTGTGTATTTGAAAGACAAAATATCTTATTTTCAGTCCTAAACAAACGTACAAAACAAAGCTTACTTTGACTTACTAAGTCAGAGTAATATTTCCAGACATTAAATCATCTATGCGATCTTATGAAATGAAACACATTTTACTCACCCTTTTGAGAAACTCTTCTGAGCAAATTCTTGCACGTGCATTTGCAGCAAGTTTCATTTCACTAATTTCCTTGTCAATTTCCTCCATAAAATGAATTACAAAGTCAACTAATTTATGTTTATACATTTGCTCAGTATGGAAGTTAGTGATTAGGAAACTGATATCATAGCCCTGTAAATGTAAATACAACCAGAATAATAAGAGAGTATTTCTGAACACAATTTATGGAAAATGTTCATACAGAAAAGCCTGCTATTTATGGAAATGCAGCACTTCATTAGCTTTCATATGATATTCATCTGATGTTTTACTTTTCCAGTAGTAATCTGAGGAAAATTATGAAATGACATGCCTATCACACTTGTCTTGGACCACAGAAATGTTATATGCATTATATGTTTTACCCTTATCTTCCACGAGTTGTTCTGTAAATGTAGATGGTTACATTAAAAATCCCCAAATAATAAGACAATAAAATGAAAACTAGCCATCACAGGTCTAAATCTGGTATAATAAATGTTCACACAAGGCTCACAACCTCACTGCCATCTGTGAGCTCTCTAGAAAATGTGGGTGCCTCGACATCTCACAACCCTACAGGCCTCCATGGCCTGTTACAGGGATAGCTTTACCTTTTATTCTGCACCACAAAGAAGTATTTGTAATTATCAGGAGCCTTTCCCTTGGATAATGAAGGGGTTATGGTTATCAGTACCCTACATTTTGCTTATATAATTTCAGAGGAAGTTTTGAAATTAAAAATTTCAGTAATGAATCACCACATGCTGATCAAAAGACGAAAATTTCTCCTACATTGGCAATATTATTATTTAATATAAAACAAAAAGTAAGAAAATATTTCAAATTCACAAAAATTTTCTACTGTATAAGTTCCAAGTACTGGATAGGTACTTAATAAACCATTACCTCAACAGGTTTCCTTCTCAGAACAATGAAATTCTCAGCACGCATCATCATGAAGCGCATGAACTTGTGACACAGAATGCGTTCAATTTCATCTGCTTGCTTAACAGCTATGCTTATCCTTACAGAATTTATTGACGTCTCAATAAGAACTTTCTCTTTTTCATTTCGACTGATGACAACAGGAGTCAAAAGCAGCTCTTTACTAGTCCTGCAGAAAAATATAAAAATCACACAATAGTTCATGCTAAGGGTAACAGTAACTCAAATGGCATTTCATAATGCAAATAACGGGGGGAGGACTGCTGACTAAACAAAGTTAATTTTAGCTCACCAGTGGCAGTAAAATAGACAATAAGGTTGACATACACATTTGGTTAATTTCAATAAGTTCAGTAAAAAGGAGGCATTCATGAGTTTGATAAGAATAGATCCCTTGATAGTACTTTATTTCAGCCTAAGGCAAGAAAATCATCAAATATTTGAAGGTTTCTTAGTTTGTGATACACTGTGTCTATGAGCACTCATGCAAAATATAGTAGATTCCCAATTATCCAGTGCAGATTATCTGGTTTGTGTTTGAATGCATGACTTTTTAGGCATGTTCACAACCTTGAAATGCACCTATCAATTTCACTCAGTCCATCTGTCTGGACTAATGAAAGAAGTTAAGAACTGTTGACAGATTTTCATGAAATCTGATATTGGAGAATTTGATGAAAAATTGTTGAGCCATTCAATTTTCATTCAGGTTGGACTATTTTAACAACCACTTGACATGAAGCCCTACATGCATTTCTGCATTTACTACTCTGTCCAAAAAGTATCTGATCTTGGGCCGGGAAAAAAAAAGTTCTGTATCTAGGTGGTTACAATACCTAATCGCCTTCAAAGTAGGCCCCTTGTGACTCCACACACTTAGCCCAGCAGTCCTTCCATCGCTGGAAGCAATTCTGGAAGGCTTCTTTTGGAATGGCATGCAGCTGCGCGGTTGCGTTCTGTATGATTTCCTCGCGGCTGTCAAAATGGCAGCCTTTTAGCGGTGTCTTCAATCTTGGGAACAGCCAGAAATCACAAGGAGCCATGTCCGGAGAGTAGGGATCCTGGCAAATGTGCAGAATGCTGTGCTTGGCCAGGAAACCCTGGATCAGGTGCGATGAATGAGCTGGGTGGGGCATTGTCATGATGCAGCTGCC